TTATAGGTGCCTTACGCCCCGGCGGCGGCTCCTCGAGGTCCCAGCCCCGCGGATCCGCCTCGGCTCTCCGGGGAACCCGCCCGGTACCCCCTTCTTACCGAAATTATTAATAATAAAAGTTTAAGTGCTGCTGGGATCCTCGTTAACTATCTGTCTGGGAGCCTGCGTGGAGATACATACAGCTTTATAGTTATATCTAGATCCTTAGATATATGTTTATCCATTTTAATATATATATATATTTGTATACTTGGCAAAGCAAAAAGCAGTGTTTGGAAGCAGCAGATAAACTTTGTCAGATTTTACCCCACCATTGTGCCCGGCACCTTTGGCCTGAGCAGGAATTGGCCCCGCGACCAGTGGCCAGGAGGGAGAGGATGGAAAAAATGAGGGGAAAAAAAATCAATAATCCGGGTTGTTTCTAGCTTGTGAGGCTTTTAAGTGATTCAATGACTCCAAGACCCGCATCTGAAGAGGCTTGGAGCATTTTAGCATTCCTGTTCAGACTGTTCCCTAAGGAAACCTGTGAGCATGGGAGCACGTCATGAGGCCAGCGAGCCCGTGTCCCCTGTCACTTGTAGCCTGGCTCATAGATTGGATCCAAAAGCAACTTGGCGTCTTCGCTGAGCAAACAGCACCGGGGCCTTTGGCCGCGCGTTACTCTTGGGTCAAATCGTTAGGGAATCGATGGGAGTTGCGAGGAAGAGGAGGGGGCAGCGGCGGGGCCTGCGCAGAGGGCAGGGAGCCGCGGGCAGGTTAGTCCCAGCCTGGCTCTCTGCCACCTTCCCGGGCGGCCTCGGGCAGGATGGGGCAGGTGACCTGGAGCAGGAAGCGAAGCCGGGCCCAGCCGCTTCCCCTGGCCTCCACGGCTGCTCCGGCGGGATGGGGATTGACTTTGGTGCCTTTTCCGCCTTCCCATTGATGATTTCAGCTTGTACATGTTAACGCTGAAGCCTGTTACAGCGGGCGATACAGTGACAGGGCCACTGTCCCCCTCCCTCGTGTCCCTCTCCCTGCCCCTCTCCCAACCCTTCTCCCAATCCCTTTCCCAATCCCTGCCACTGTCGGAACCGGGGGGGACACGGGGACATGGGGGATGGATTTACCGGAGACTGCCCCGTGGGACGGCGCCGGGACTGCTGGGGGAGCAAGTGTGACACAGGAGACACGGTGACCCCCTGGGTGCCACTGTGCTCTGAAGCGGAGTGTGCAGCAAGCTGTGCCTGTGCTCAGCT